CAACCAAACAACACAAAATAGTGTGCTTTTATTAGGCACAATTAAAGTATATGTATGGACGCTTGAAAATAAGTTGGCAACACTTAAAGATACTACAACTACGATCAGCTGTTGCAGCGTTTCCCAGCATTTGACTTTTGATATTACGACTTAAACTGTTGTTTCGTGTTAAAATTCTATTTTCGTTCTAAAACGTGTTGTTAAGTGTTTGAAAGACTAATTATTTATATGGTTTATAGTAATTTTAAGAAAAATATAATGTGTGGTAAGGTGAGCGGAATTAAAGTGCCTTTGCTGCACTTGAGAAAAAAGCTTTAACATTGTTATATCCAGCATTAAAATACACAAATGTTGTGTCCTTTCTGTATACAGTACTGTCAATTAATTTGTAACTGGAGAAATCAGTCAATAGGCAACATGACAAATAATGTCTCAGGGTGCAGAATCAAACCCTCAAACTTCAAGATTTTATCCTAACAAATATCTAACGACCCTATCAGGAAAGTGCTCTACCTTTATATCATGTTATTCATGTTAAACTCACAGTGGAGTATAATTTAAGACTAAGATGGACTTAACATAAGAACAAACAGATGGGTGCGGTTTTGAACATTCAAAAAGTCTGATATCCAGCCATTTTGTTTAACTATGATGTTTATCATTCAATTTAGACATGATCACTATGCTGAATATTTTATAGGTACTGATGAATATGAGTGGATAATAGTAAAATAGGTTCCTTGTGTAGCTTTGATTTTAGGGTTGTTTTTTTTTTCAACCTCCGATCGCTCCGTGCAGACGCTACGCGGGAGGCAGAAGGCGGGCATGCGCCGTAGGCGATTGCGCAACTCTTCCACTACACCTGTCGCCATTGTTGACATTCGCGCGTCAGTTGGCGTTGTGCTACAGCAGACTAACAACAACTAAACATGGCTGCCACCATTGATGCTCCCGCCAAGTGTGAATTGCGAAGTGTTATTCGTTTTCTACAGGCTGAAGGCCATAGTGATGCAGAAACCCATCGGAGAATGAGTTGTGTGTATGGGAAAACTTTATGAGTGATGGTGTTGTGTGTGAATGGTGTCGAAAGTTTAAAGACGGCCGTAAATGATGTGCACGATGAAGGGGGACAAGGACGCAAATCTGTCATTTCAGATGACCTGGTTCAACGTGTTGACAGAATGGTGAAAGGAAACCGCAGATTCACCATTACTGCTTTGTCTTTGGAATTTCCCGATGTTTCAAGGTCTGTTTTGTACTCTATTGTTACTGAACGGTTAGGCTACAGAAAACTTTGTGCACGTTATGTCCCAAAAATGTTGACGGATGGACACAAAACGACGAATGGCGTCAGCTTTGGAGTTCCTTGAGTGTTACTGTTCAGTAAAAGGCCAGCTGACCATATGAGCATATTAAAATAATCCCCACATGTCAACAACAATACAATAATAAAATTTTGAAAATGTAAACATTCTGGTTCAAAAAGTGCAATTTTTCGCTCCCGTAATATCGTTTCTTTGTGTAACATCATTCATTTCTCTCTCCTTTTATTTTGACTTGTTTCATTTACCTTTTCCTTTTGTGTGCATTTAATAAACCCTTTTTAATTTGACTCTAAATTCTGTGTACTGTGAGAACATTTGGACATTCATGAAACATATCTTCTCAACTAGAGACAACATTCGACCAGATCTTCTTTCAAGACCTTAATAACGTCAAAGTGGTAACATAACTATAGTTCAGTGTTAAAAATTCAACCAAAAGTCCATAATTATTTTCTGTTGTCAAAATTAAATTAATAACCCATATACAGTCCACTTTATTATTTCTACAATAACCTTTTGATTTCGCTACATCTTTGGTCCGTTCGCGTCGGATTGTTGATTAACCAATTGATTGAACTAATTATGTGGACTTTTGGTGAAGATTTAAAGACGGACATAACCTCATAAACTCTCAATATTGTCGTTCACGTATATTTTGTACTCCCCCTCTACCTCTATCTCTCTCACTCTCTCGATCACATTAGCCTAATAGGCCTACTCCAATGACTGAAAGACTCTGTGACATTATAGTCATTTTGTAAACATTATACCAATCCTTCAGTGTTTATATTTTTTGTTGATTGGTTCCGAGTTAAGGCCCACAAACTGTTTAATTGAACTAGCCTAATTCATTTTGTTTTATGTAACGAAGTGAAATAACTTTTGTGTCTTGTGTATTTTGACTGGATTTGTGATCAATGATGGCTCCTGTTAACCTAGGCCCGATTAAGGTTTCTACTTATAAAAGACTAACTAAACAATTCAAAGTTAGACTTGAAAAAATTCAAGAAAATATAAATTTTATTAATGAAAGTGCTAAAGCAAACAACCTATCCTCTGTGCAAATAAAATCACTTCATATCTATTTAGATGAAATCAGGAAAAAGCGAGACAACTTTGAACTAAATTTCAGGCGCGTTTTAGAACATTGTTCTGACGAAGAACTCGATGACATTATTCTAAATGATGATGAAAACACTGTTGGTGAATTATGTATCCATCTTTGTAGTACTATAGAGTCACTAATCCCTGTTGACGAACCTCAATCTCCCCCTCAAGAAATGGTGAATAATTCCAACTGTAATGCTTTCATGCAACCTGTCCGCCTACCGCAAATTGACTTGAAAACCTTCTCGGGAAACTCAGCCGAGTGGATTAATTTCATCAATCTTTTTGATAACGCTGTACACCTCAACACATCTCTGTCTCCAGTATCAAAATTTCAATACCTACTAAGCTGTCTAACTGAAGAACCTCTAAATTTAATTAAAAACTTTAACATCAGTGCATCTAACTACGAAATCGCATACAATGTTGCGCGATCGATACCACAATCACAGGTGCTTAACTGCTTTACATTTAAATGCCATATTGGATCTTCCCATTGCCACATCTGAAAATACAAAATCAATACGTGAATTTCTAAATCATTTTCTAGAACATACACAATCACTTATTGCTTTAAAAAGTGACATCACTACAAATGACAATCCTTTGCTGTCAGCTCATTTGCTCCGTTGACTTGATAGAAATTTACAGCAAAAACTTGAACATTACCGCTCATTTAAATCATGTGAAACTCATTCGTTACCATCTGTGGACGAAATCATTAATTTCTCAATGAATAATGCTCAAACAGTGAAGATGCCAACCTACACTCTTCAACTTTTTGTCACAAGGCTAATTCAAAGTCTGCCCTCACATCTAGTAAAAATTACTCCAACCCAAGCACCCGCTATACTGCACTTGTGAGCTCAGATGATCACTCCACTACTGTAAAGACAATTCCATCATGCTAATGTGCTATGTTTCCCACAATAGCGGCATTAGGATGTCCATAATAACAAGTATAAATAAAAAAATATATATTTCTTCTCCTTGGTTGTGTTCTATGACTTTCCTATGTTTCCATAGTTTGCAAATCGGCTCTTTCAATGATTACTAAGAAATGCAGCACAGTGTTAATTGCGTTTTCTTTTTAGTATATCTAATTATTCAGGTTCTCTAGCTTTTTTCCATTGTAATATTTACACCAACCCAAATTCAAACAGTAAATATTTCATTTCAACTCTTTTAGTGAAAGGCCTAATTGTCTCTTTCATTTACACTAAGCACTAAGCCATCCGGGTGTGACTCTAAAAATCTCCCTTATTCCCTACAGGAAGTAAAGAATATAACAACGTTGTGTCCTGTTTGTGCTGAGGTTCCACTCCGACAGAGGATCTTCATTTTTATCTCAAGAACTAGTATCGTTTTTGCATTCTCGTGGTATCGCCTCAAGTAAAACAACACCATACAATCCAGAAGGAAACGGACAAGTTGTGTGCTTCAAAGGAGCACTTTGGAGAACAACAACCCTTGCACTGAAGACTAAGAATTTACCAATTAGGCAGTGGGAGCATGTTCTCAATGATGCTTTGCATGCCATTAGATCTTTACTGTGTATGGCTACCAATGCAACTCCCCACGAACGCTTTTTTGCGCACTCTAGGAGATCAAGCAATTGAATTGCTTTGCCCACATTATAGATAGATAAATACAGGGTGTCCCACGTAAAGGTGTTTCAAATTGATTACGGAAAAATGGCTTAACGTACAAGGATGAAATCAAATTATTTTCCGGTAAATCGACCCCAAGGAATAACGTAAAAATATTTTAACAATTTTTTTCTCTTTTTTCCGATTCAGGGTGTGTCAAAATCTGAGTGTCACCAGTTTGAATCTCAGAATTTTCAAAAGTAAAAATATGTCATGTTATACATAATCTTAAAGGTATTTAATAGACTAACATTATGGTGAAAACAGAAATTAACTATTTTTTCCGTTTCAAAATAGTGGCAGTTTTCTGGGAAAAAAGAATATGTTTTTAATACTCTGTGTTTCCTATACCAATGCACTTAGCCCTTCTGCGGTTGAATTTTCTTACTCTTTATGCAATTAGCTTTACTGTGATATGCTAGGCCTACAAGTATATCGCAAAACCGTTATTATTTTAAACAGTTTTTTTAAATAAAAAAAAATTCCAAAAAAATTGATTTTTGAAAATTTGCAAAAGCTCATCGTTCAAAATTTTCGAATAGCAACATAATGTCAAGTGGCACATCATTTTATACGTTTTTTAATTCTTAACAACTTTGTCATTTACACTTACTCCTTATCTCTTTTAGTTTTTGTGTAAATAACAAAAAACCTAATTTTCCTATATCAAATTCATGTTATTTGGGTTTAACGCTAATGGCCCCATTTCATTTAGTGTTTCATTTTCATTCCTTTGGGTTGATTTAGCAGGAAATAATTTTATTTCATCCTTGTACGTTTAGCTCTTTTTCCGTAATCAATTTAAGACACCTTACACACCCTGTATAAAGATATACAGGTAGATAAACCCATACCATGATGTAGGATATCTGTATCATATGGTACATACATTTTAATACTTCATATTGATTTGTTTCAGTTAAGGGAACACTCAGTGAAGACACCATAAAATTGTTCCTTAGGCAATTGGGTGAGTAAATATTTGTATCACATTTACACCTTTTGATATCGTCACTATACTGTACGTGATTCAATTCCTTTGATATCACGGACGATTAATATCAAACATTAGAAATGACAAAATAGATTTTAACAAAAACTTGGTATCTTCTTTATTGTATTCAACAAAACAACATACTAAACTATTTTCTGTTTACCAAAACAATTTAGGAAACATATGATTATTTATTAATCATGAAACAGTCTTTGGGCAAACTTATATAGAAATATCTATTGAGGGTTTTCTTTATAGATAGATATTAATCATCGTACGTCAATCATCCCCCCCAAAACCCTCAATATATATTTTAAATCTTCCTCTTTCTAGACCTTAGGTTGTAACCAGGTAAGGCATCGTTATGGTCTTCTGCTTCTAGTTCATTATCTTCGGCTTGAGTTGCTTCACGGAGAGTTTGCGGAAGTATTTTCAACTCCGACATGTGTACCTTAATTGGTGGATCAGACCTCAAGAGGTACACTCCCTTCCCTAGCTTGTGTTCCACCTCAAATGGTCCAAGCCATTTCCGTGCCATCCCTGCATGCACATTTTTAAGCTTATTACTCAAGGGATGGTTTCGCCGAAGAACCAACGTACCCGGTTTCAGGTCCTGCTCTTCAGGTACATCGTTTCTCTCTGCTTCCCTCTTCGAACTCTCTTCGGCTTGTCGATTCATACGTTTGATTAGTTTTGCGTTTTCTTCATGCCATGCAGTCAAATTCATAGTTTCAGGAGACTGTTCATGCATAAAGTTCCAATCACCAGTTCTTTTTATTTCCCGACCAAGAAAAAGTTCTGCTGGGGAGAACCCTGTGACGCGATTCACTCGCTGTCTGATGGCAAGGAGAGACTCATGCAAGTGTTGATCCCATTTGGTATGTTCTTTGTCAAACAAATGAATCCTAAACAGCTTCTTAAGCTCCTGATTTCTCCGTTCAGTAGGATTTGCCTGAGGATGGTATATTGGCGTTGTCCAGTGTTCAATAGCCCACTCAGTTAAAGTCCGCAACCATTGTTTTGACGTGAACGGACTGCCATTATCTGTGAGAAGACATCGTGGATAACCATACCGGCTAAAGACCTCTGTTCGTAGGAGCTGTAGGATTCTTCCCGATGTAGCTTCAGGAATGGCAAATGCTTCGACCCACCTGGTAAAAAGGTCTGTCACCACCAAAATTCCAGTCTTCCCTCGAGATGTTCTGGGATATGGTCCCATAAGATCTAGAGCAACAACCTCCCACGGCTGGTGTGGCCGACGTCCTCTCATGCTTGTACTAGCTTTTTGGTTGTTGGCCTTGGTACAGGCACAGATAGTGCAGGATTGGACGTAGCTTTTGATGTCCCGATGCATATTTACCCAGAAGAAACGACGCCGAATCGAAGTGTAGGTCTCGTCTTGTCCTGGATGGCCAGCTTCAGGGCTGTCGTGGTACTTCTCTAGAATCTTTACGGCCTGAGACTTCGGAACTACAATCACAGGAGAAGATTCTGATAGATGAGATTTATACATAAGTATACTGTCTTCCAAGCGAAAGTTCTTATAGCATGTCTTGAACTGGAATGGGACAGCTTCAGAATTTGTGTAACGTTTGGTTATCCAGGATTTCATTCTACTACAAGCTGCATCTTCATTCTGCCATTTCTTTATCAGTTCCAAGTCAATGTCACAATTTTCCCGCTGTGCCACCATAAGAACAGGCTCAATCTGTCTTAACTTCATTGGGACTGGAACTTCCCTCTCCATGAGTTCTTTGGATATCTCACCACTGTCTACCGGGTTTCTTGACAAGCTATCAGCGGCTTGATTTAACTCTCCTGGGACGTGATGTATTTCAAAGTCAAAATCGGCCAAAATTAAGGACCATCGCATCAGTTTTGACTTGGTTCCGGATACTTTGTTTAGCCACTGTAGTGATGAGTTATCAGTGAATAATTTAAATTTTCTTCCCTCGAGATACCCCCTGAATTTCCCTACTGCCCACACTACCGCTAGAGCCTCCTTTTCAGCTGTACAATAGCTTTTCTCAGAAAGGGAAAGTTTCCTGCTTGCATATTCAATTATATCCTTGCCTCCTTCTATCCGCTCTTGAAAGAGAACAGCCCCAAGACCTACATTACTGGCATCTGTCTGTAAGCATATTTCCCGACTGGGGTCCAAATAAGCTAATCCCGGAGAGTCACAGATGGATCTCTTTATCTCACTGAAAGCTTTCTCTTCCGTCTCGGTCCATTTAAAAGGTTTATTTTTATGAAGAAGGTCAGTTAGAGGTGAAACCTTGGATTCAAAATGAGGTACAAAACAACTGTACCAACCGCACAGGCCCAAAAAACTGTCGAACTTTACGCTTCGTACCAGGTCTTTCGTACTCTTCAATAGCCTTGTTTTTCTCAGTTTGCCTCTCTAATCCTTTGTCTGTTAACACATGACCCAAATATTCCACTGAGTTGGACGCAAAGTGACATTTCTTCACCTGACAGGTAAGTCCATGAATTTTCAATCTTTCTAATACTCTAGCCAAATGTTCCAAGTGATCAGAAAATGTTTTGCTGTAAACTAGTATATCGTCCAAATAAACTTGACAAAATTCACCAACATAATTTGACAAAACTTTGTCCATCAGACGCATGAATGTTGCTGGGGCATTTTTCAATCCAAAGGGCATAACACGGAATTGATATAGTCCCCTTGGTGTTGAAAAGGCGGTCATAGGCCGAGATGATTCTTCTACCTCTACTTGCCAATAGCCAGAATTCAAATCTAAAGTGCTAAATACTTTGGCCCCACTAACTTGCTTAATCAGATGTCGTAGATCAGGCATTGGGTAAGCATCAGCAATAGTTTTGTTGTTGACTTGACGTAAATCCACACAAAGTCTGTAGTCTCCGTTCTTCTTTTTGGGTAATACTATTGGTGAAGCCCATCCTGAAGACGATAGTTCAATTAGTCCTTGATGTTCCATTTCCTTTACTTTTTCTATGACAAACTTCCGTTTGTCAGGGTTAAGAGGGTAAGGTTTCTGTTTGACAGGTGTGTTATCTTTACAAGAGATCATATGTTTTACCGTAGTAGTAAACCCAATTCTGTCTGTAATTACCTCTGGAAAGATACTGAGTAAATTAATCAAGTCTGTTCTTTGATTGAGGTCTAAAATTCCCGTTTTCAGTTCATCTAAAACGTTGTTTTCTAATTCTGCTCTCAAATCAAAGTGTTTGTCCTCTAACCATCCCAATCTAACTCTATTTTTAATGCCAAAAAATATTTCATTTGCTGTGTAATCTATCAACACACCGTATTTAACAAGGAAATCATGCCCTAGTATGATTTCCGGGATTAAATCATTAATCCCTTTTACTGGAATTTGAATATATTCTTGAGAACATTTGGCTTCAAGAAAAGTAAATCCTTCGATTTTATAATTTATATCTTGTACTGCACCTTTGACAACAGTTACACCGTCTGGACAAACAGGTTTTAACAATTTAGACACCGTCATGCCAATAAACGAATGTGATGCTTGAGTATCAAGGGCTGCAGTATAATATTTGTCACCAATCTGTAAACTAATTGCCGGACGGGGATTACCCACACTCTCACTAGAAATTTGACCAATATAAGTTTTTTCTGACTGGTAGTTTTGGGACTTAGAAACTTTTCTAGAACCATTCTCGTCCCTATTAGAACGGTTCTGGTCTAGTTTTCCGGACAACGGGCCTTCACATGCCCAGTTTGCCCACATTGATAACATTTAAAGGAGTTATCAGGGTTCGAAGTTCTGGTTTTTGAGGAATAAAAGCTTACCTCTTCGTCTAGCTTTGCTACTATGCTCCTGAGTTCGTCAAATGATTTTGGTTGAGCTACCTTAACTAGAGACCTAATCTTATCATGTAAAAGTTCTATAATATAAGTAACACTCTCGTCAATACTCCCACCATCATTCATTCTCTTAAACAACTGTAACTTTTGAATAACAAATGCCCCAGCTCTCATGCCACTAGGTTGAACGTCCGTCAAGAATTTCTTAGTGATTAATGCTTTGACAGCCTCTGAATTAAATCTCTGCATAAACTCATGTTTGAATGTGTCCCATTCTAGACTTAGACCCTTAATGTTTTGCCACCAAGTACCTGCCGAACCCCTCAACTGTTGGCTCACAATCTGCAGATATATTTCTGACGGTATACACGTCCGTTTTAACAAAGACTCGCAAGTAGCTAGAAACGCTGTGGGACATTCCTCCAACCTCCCATGAAATTCCGGTAGGCTGTCTTTGATAATTTTGGGATCTACAGTAGGCATGAATGATAGTTGGGATTCTGGATTATTCAAAGTAATTGTCTTTTCCTGTGAGGATATCTGTGTTCCAATAGCTTGCATTTTATTGTTAAATTTAGTTTCAATGTAATTAATTTTAGTTTCCAATTCATTTAATTTATCAGAGTTACCAACAAAATTTGTTTCTAATTTCGTAATTTTATCAATGGTTACGACAACATCTGACTCCAATGATTCGATTCTATTGTCTAATTTTGAATAGTTTTGAGAAATTTGTTCCATAAAAGATGACATATTACTATTAATATCTGCCGACTGTGTGTCAAGTTTCTCAGATTGGATATCTAGTTTCTCCGAAATTTTGGACAGTAGAATACTCACCGGGTCAGGTTGTGGTATTTGTTCTGCCAACTGGGTATTCCGTCCTACCCGTGATCGAAGCTCGTAGGCTTTGCTTCCTGTCCCCTTCTGCTCACCTTCTTCCAGGCCTTTCTCTAGCATTTCAGTTGTTAATTCTTCAACTCCTAATTTTGTCATTTCTAAATTAAAAGTCCTGTCACGGTCGCCAATTGATATCGTCACTATACTGTACGTGATTCAATTCCTTTGATATCACGGACGATTAATATCAAACATTAGAAATGACAAAATAGATTTTAACAAAAACTTGGTATCTTCTTTATTGTATTCAACAAAACAA